GTGAGTTCTCTACTGGTGCTAAGTTGTGCTGGCCTGGGTGGAACGATGATTGAAGCCGTTCTTTTTTTCCTTTGTGTGGTTATTCTCAGGTGTTTTGTTCCACTGCATTGCTGAAGCTTCCTAAATGGACTGCTGAGCTCTCCTAGGGCTGTTTTTGCTCATGAGTGGCCATCGAATTGTTGAACTTTGAGGGAAAATAGAGGCTGGCATCTGCTACTCACTATCTTGGTTTTGTCACACTTCCTTCCTATCAGTTAATGACAAACCAGTAGCTAAATTCTGCATCCAGAGACCTCTGAGCCAGGACGACTGCATGGCTAGGATGTAGTAGGTTGCAAGTACTGTCATTCCCATACGAACTCTGTTTACAACTGAAAAAACTAAAAACTGAAAAGCGCCTCAAGCATAATTATTTAAACTTTAGAATTGGTGAACACAAAGTGAGCTAAAGAAAATACCTCCTGAGATAGGATGAGTTCTTCTTAATGAGCAGAAATCAGAAGCCACTGGGGACATTTGTTGAATTTGGGCACAGAATGGTTACGGATGGGTGTGATATGAAAAGAGGGATTCCGATGATGAAAGAGAAACCATACTGGCTTTTTCTGACTGTATGTCCTGAAGGAACATGCGTGGGTCTGCAGAAACACCAAATAGGAGGCAATTTCTACTCATATGTTGGTTTATCTGCAGAGAAGTTTTGCTGAGAGCATCGTGGTGTGATGGATTGTGGACTATGTTGGGAAGCAGAGAGACATCTTTCCAGTCCTATGGTGCTTAGAGGCGATGTCCTGTTAGAGGGGGAGGCCTGTGTGGTGTGCAAATTCTAAAATGCACCCAGTGTCTTCCGCCTCCTGTATCTGGATCCATCCTCTTGAGTGTGTCCTGGGCCTATTGACTTGCTTCCAATCATCACATGGCAAAACTGGTGAGATGTCAATTCTGAGATAGGGTACAAAAAGTCTCTGGTTTTCATATTCTTGGCTTTTGTTTCTCTGCCTCCTATCTGTTTGTTTAAATGGCATCCAATAGACATGTGTGAGCTTCCCTGTGACAGAGAACTGAGGAAGGCCTCTGGTCAACAGCCCACAGGAGCTCCATCTTTCCAAAATGAGTGGACTTGGAAACAGATCTCTTCCCAGTCCAAATTTGAGAGGACTGCAGCCCTAGCTGACACCTTGAGTGTACTTGTTGGGTGCTCTGTTTTATTTAAGAGAAGTAGGAAGTTATAAATAAATGTATAAAAGTCTGTAGTTTTCTAGTATATCCATAATATGTTAATTAGATGGGAAAATCAGAACTTGGGCTGTCATTTATATAAACTAAACAAACAAACAAACTACAAAATACCCTTAAAAAAAAGGAAACAGAAAGGTCCTTTTAGAGACAGAAATATTTTAGTAGCTGAGAAAATGGAAAGAGTTTCAGATTCTTGTTAAAGACCTAATTTTCCCTAATTTACAAAATAATAAATGGATTTGCACATGTTTAAGTCAAAAAGTCATAAATCGAAGAGAAAAATGATCTGCATTTTATGTTAAGATCCTTAAAACTGGAAGTCAAAGCGAAGTGTACAGCTGAGCTTTCTCCTGCGAAAAAGGGCCCAGACCCTTCTATGCACATTCACTTTTCTCCTTTTCCTCTTATGTTATTGTTAAAAGGTCCTCAGAGATTGGATGAACATGGGCCAATTTTGGTAATTATGAGCTCTGTGCATTGATCTCTCAAGGCCACTCAGGAGTAAATAATTAGCCAGTGCCTCCAGCCCTTCAGGCTGCCAGTCTCAGTTAAGCTTCATACCTGTCTTTTTCTCTCAGAGTTGTCGCCTGCATCAGGAGATCCATGCCTGAGTGTCTTCCTCCAAATCCTGAGGACAGAGCTTCAGCCCTCATCATTCACCAGGCAGGAGAAGGCAGTGGAACTCAATTCCTAGGTTATGGTCAAGGAGAGACACAGCACAGACCAGTAAGTGCCAAGGAAGATGGTGGGTGGAGGAGGTATTATGGAGAAACTTGTTTTATTACTATCCAGACAGCAGGACAACTGAGATGGCCAGACTGGAGAACATTAGTATGCAAAGTTTCAGCTCAGAGGCTGATACATTTTATGTTTTCTTTTCTGTTGGAGATTTCAGAATTCTCATTTAGAATTCTGCTCTTTGCTGCTTCCATTCCTAGCTTCCAAAGTCATTGCTCATTCCTGAGCAGGAATCCCAAAATGATCACAAATGCTGATTGTGATCATGATGCGGATAAGGAGAGTATCCACAATATCACAAATCTTTATTGAGGTTTTACTTGTCTCAGGCTCAGAGCTATGTGCTACGTAACTTTAATTTTAAATCTGCATGATACCCCCTTGTTGGCATGCTCACATTAATACTTTACAATTGAGGAAAGGAACACAATATTCTTATTTAATTTAAAACCGGTCCTTGGGTAAAAAAGAGTGAAATCAGGTGTGCATCTGAGCAGTGAGATCTATTCCCAGGATGCAAAGTGCAGGACAATGTCTTCCCATACAATTTAGGTTCATGTGGGTATCGAGCCCTTGATATGTGGCTAGTCCAAATGAGATGTGCTGTCAGCATAAAATACCAGATTTTTGAAG